TTTAAAAAAAAAAAATCTTAAAAAAGAAAAAAAAAAAAAAATAAAAAAAAAGATGTTAGGAAAGGCCAAGAAAATAAAAAAAAAAAAAAAAAAAAAAAATCTTATATCTAGAATAATAATTATCAAAAGATATTTGAAATTCTTAATAAAAAACTAACAATTATATTTATTGTAATTTACTTTAACTTTATTAAACTATTTACTTTATATAATGATATTTCTTATTTAAGATTAAAAACAATTTTAATACAAAAAAAATAATTAAAAATATATACTATATACTATATATAATTGTTTATATAAGTTACAGTTTGATTAAAGCTAAATATAATTATTTATTAATTAAAATTAAATATCTTGTATCTATTGTTAACAGGGAAATGATATAGAATATAATTGTATAATATACTTTAACAGGTCACATGTCTTGATTTTTTATAGTTGATAGTAGATAGTTTATAAAGATACTTTATGTTAATGTAATTTTAAAATTTAAAATAAATATAGTTTTAGATAGTTTATTAGAATAGTATAATAATAGAAGATAGTCTATTTTAGCTTAGTAAGATTGCATAATATGACATTAACAATAAGAATATATCATAATAATATAAAAGAAGAGGAAAGATAAAATTATATAATAATTAACAAGACATATATATGCACAAAAGAAAAAAAAATTAAATATGACAAGAAAAGTAGTAATGAAAATAGTGTTGCTTATAATAAAGTTACTCTTTTAAACTTCTTAATTAAGATGTATAATTTATATTGCAGAAAGAAGAAAATCTAATTAGCTTATTTAATTCAGTACTTGTAATAAGATATAATAATTGGGATCACAAAAAAAATAATAAAGATTTTATTAAAAAAAACAACAATGGAAAGAGAAGAAAGAATTAGCAAGACTCAACTGAACAAAAATCAAATACCTCAAGTAGAGAAGTCAAAACTTATCTGATGTAATATAAGAAAAGCTTTAGAAAGATGACTAATTCATCAAAAGAGATATTAATATTATATAAGTCATGAAAATATTTTCAACTTTATATTTGTTTAATAGATTTTATACTAATAACTAATTATATAATACTACAATAGATAATAAATATTTCAATTTAATAAAATAAAATAACTTGATAATTCTTACTATTACTTACTATTTCTTTTAAATTCAATATTGTAAAAACAAAAAATATATAAAATAAAATTATATTATTATATATATTCAAATTTATAATTAAACATCATAAATTTAAAAACTTATTAATAATTATTTCAATATTTAATAAATGAAATTCTATTAATACACTTAAATAACAAATAATAAATAATTCTTAAAAACAAATAATATATTATCTAATACAATTATATTAACTTTTTTAACAAAATATTAAAAATTCAAATGAATCTTTATAAATTATTAAAACAATTGAACTGGAATTAATTTTATATAATTTGTATAAAAATATTTTATTTACAGTAGAAATCATATATCATTGCCTAACTCTTTAAAAATTCAAATTCAATCCAATTGTTTTAAAAATATTAGGACAAATAGTTTATTACAATTCTTGATCTTCTAATTTTTTTTAGATTTTTGTAATTGCTAGAACAAAATTTAAATAGAGTTCAATTTTTCAGGTTATTTTTTTAATAGATTTTTTTAACTTGAAAATTATTAAAAAATAATTCATATATTAATAATTTACTTAATCAAAAATTTTTAAAAAATTATATATTAAAATCTAGGTTTTTTATATTATTTATAAAAAATTTGACATATTTTGATAAGACAGTTGTCAAAAAATTGATTTTTAAATTTTAAATTTGCTGATAACTTTTTAAATATAGTTTTTATCAATTTTACATATTATAAAAATTATTAAAAATTAATAAATTATATAGTAAAATTGATAAAAATTGTATTCAGAAAGTTATTTTTTTGAATGCAGCTAATTTAAAAATTTAAAAATCAATATTTTGACAATTGTCTTATCAAAATATGGCAAATTTTTTGTTAATAATATTAAAAAATCTAGATTTTAATATATAATTTTTTGTGAATTTTTGGTTTAAGTAAATTATTAATATATGGATTATTTTTTAATAATTTTTAAGTTAAAAAAATTTATTAAAAAAATAATTTGAAAAATTGAACTCTTATCTAAATTTTGTTTTAACAATTACAAAAACCTGAAAAAATTTAGAGGATCAAGAATTGTGATAAACTATTTGTCCTAATATTTTTAAAACCATTGGATTAAATTTGAATTTTTAAAACATAAAGCAATGATATATAATTTTTACTATAAATATTTTAAAATTAAAACAACTTATAATTAAGTTAAAAATTGATATTATTAATTAAACTTATACAAATATATTTTCAAATATATTAAATCATATTATATACTATTTATTAATAATAAGAAATATCTGTAAATATGAAAAAAAATATTTAATATCAATAGGAAAATTATTTGATTAAACAAATAAAAATAAGTATATTGTTATAGTAATTAAATATTTAACAAAATAATTTAAAGCTAAAATTATTAATAATACCAAAATGATTATTATTATCAAATTTATTTATAATATTATCTGTTAATATAAATATCTAAAAGTTTTATTATTTAATCAAGAAATATTATTATAATAAATTAATAAATTTTTTATATCAATTAATACAAATTGAATATTTTTTATTATTTATTTATTATTTACAAATTAATAGATTAACTAAGTACTTTAACAAATATTATATATAACATTGATCAAATATATTAATTATTATAGTAATATTTGAAATATTTTCTTAAATATATTATTTGTATATAGGATTATTCAAAATAATATAATCAAATATATATTATTTAAATTATTATATGAATAAAAAACAATAATATTAATAGATTTATTATATTGAAGTAACAATTTGAATATAGATTAGTTTTGATTTTTTAAAATTCAAATTTTGATATTTGATTTTGAAAAAAAATAATAATAATATTTTTTTTACAATTATATTTAGAAATTAAAATATAAACGTTTTAAACAATTAATATTATATAGTAATAGTTTAATAAATTTATTTTTTTATAATATTATAGTTAATACAATAAATAATTGATTAAATTATATAGACAATATAATAATTTTGATATTAAAAATTCAAGTATCATATATAAATTTATAAAATAATTTTGGTTTAATTGAAAATTATAAAAAAAAAAAATAATAAAATAATAAAAAATAAACAAATGTATTTTAATATTATAAATTTTTTTAAAATAAATAAAATATATTAAATTATTATATTTTTTAATAATAAAATAGATATGATATATAAAATTATTTTAATTAATCTTAAAAAAAGTTTATACAATAATTATTTTATATAAATTGAAGAATATTAATAAATTTTAATACAAAATCAATTAAATTTAAATATATAATATACTATATATTTTTTAATAAATTGTAAATATTTAACAATATAGAGTACTATGTATATACAGTATAGAAACAGAAATTTTTTTAAATTATTTTATGTATTCGATTTGAATATAAATAATACTGTACATTGTATACAGTATACAGTATTTACAGTTTAGTTTGAAATATATAATAATATAAACATTAACCCCGCAAATGCGTGCTCAATATTGATTGGTGGATAAGGATTTATCAGCATCAAGAAATTAAAAAACAAACACATTGTTTTATCATGAACAACTTCAAAGCCGAAGTTAAATCTGAACACCTTTCCAGTAAGTACGGCATTTCCTCTTTTCAGGGAATGATACTAGCTGACATTTTTTTTTTTTTGAATTTAGATTTTTACGAAATAATGTACAATGTGGGCAGCATTTGTCCTCAGGTCTTTATCATAGCCGAACATGACAAGGCGAGTATTAATTAATTGCGAACATGAAATTATCAAGTGAATAATGAACTCTTTTCAATGTAGTTGACGTTGACAGGTTACCTTGAAGTCGGATGGAATTTTCTCATAGAATTGAACACTGTAATGTTTCAATCAATAAACTGCCCATCAAAAAAGGTTTTTCGAATTGAAGCGGATTCAGGAGTTTCAAGAATATTTCAAGAAAGTAAACACGTTACCTCATTACAAATTTACGAACAAATTTCGTCATCGATATATAATCTTCTCTCGTTTGAGGTCATTGAAAATGGTTGGTATTACGTCTTTTGTTGAAATTTACACTCAACTTGACAATTGAAATAACGATCTTTTTTTTTAATAAAAAGGGTTTAAAACCATATATACCATTGTTTATAATTCGGTACCGGAATTCACAATTGAGATAAATGACGATACTTCACAGTTTAAAAATTCATGGTCAGTACTTCCAACGGTTCTCGAAAAATGGTTAAGCGTGACCGATGAAGATCATGAAGATGTCTACTTTAACCACGGAACCAACATTCTCAACATCAAATTCACGTGTGGAGACGGTATTTAGTAATTCGGATAATATCTGTTGTTTATTCCAAATTCCAATCATGACTATCGAAGTGACTTGGTCAAACTTTGCAGTAATTCAAATCTCCTTTAGATGACAATGATTTCAACATAGATGTGAACAAAAAAGATTTTATTGCATACAATATTATTGAACAGGTGCAATTCAAAGTCACGAGACAGGATTTAAGTGTGTGTGATTTATTATTTATTTTACTTTTTTTTTTCGAATTGATGTGTTCAACCTAATAACGCGCGTCACACATAAATCATTAGCAAATGCTTCCATTCGTCAAATCCATTGATTCGTCCTTTGACGTATACTTTGAACCCCTTCAAGG